AAAATAGTTCCACTGAGAGAAAGGCAGTAAACCTCAAACCTGTACTTTTTCAAAGAACGAAGCCCACGGGAACGCCAAAATCGGCCCCAGGGGGAAGTTCTGCCAAACGTGTATTCAATGAACCCAGGATTGTTTTGCAATTTTGTCTAAGTGTGCATAACATTTTTTTTTACCCAAGAAAGGCACTTCTTGTCACATTTAAGGTGCAATAGTAAAATTTGTATACATTGGCGATTCTTCCTGGGGCCCAACACACATGCAGTCATAAACACTTAAACTCAGTACAATACAACAAACAAAGACAAAAAGCAAGACCAGCTCCTCTAATAGAATTAACTAAGTTCATGCAGAAGAGAAAAATGGCCATCCATTTCAGGGACATTCTGCAAAAGAACACAAAAACATCGTCCTCACAAATCTTCAACATTCATGTCAGACTTGATTTCACTCGTTGATTTGGCTCACATCACAATAAACAAACGCTTCCACGTTTCTGGCACAACGTCTTCTTTAGAGCATTTTTATAGCTCACAATTACAAGAGAAGATGTCGTTGATATTAGCTCAATATTAACATGAACTGATATCTCATAGGCCCGGCAGACCAATTCAATCCAGTCGATTTTGTCCGAGTTTGGCCTTTTTTCGCATTTTTAAAACCCAACACACTTTTCAGTCAATCATTCAAGAAAATACTTTTTCTGTTGAGTCTATAAAGAAATAAGAAAACACTAAGCTTTTAAAAAGTATTATCAAATCTCATCACTAATCAATCCTTACAAAAAAAAGATTTGTATCGTATTCAAGCCGTGACATATGACATCACAATGAGCGGCGTTCACTCCGGCAAGGTGCCCACAATGCATCAGCATGCTTTTCTTGGCATGACGCCTGCACCTGGTCATACAAACAGGGACAGTAGAATATTAAAATCAAATTCCGCCCTGTTGCCTCTTTTTTAATTTCTCTTTTTTTATCCATAAGTGTAGAGATTCTAATGCCAAACTTGGAGCTTCACCTTCACACTCAGCTTTCCTTTCACCACAACCATTTGACACAGCACTGTCTTAACCCCAGACGGCACCCCGGGCCAATCAATCTGACCACATCTTACCCTCACATTGAGGATGTTTGACCTCGGTCATTTGGATGAACAGAATTCAGTACGAGGGGACTTATTGGAAATCAATTGTTTAAGGTCATATGTTGTGACCAGGGAGCTTATGACCTTCAAGCACTCCAGCCTAACCTGCAGGTCAGAGCCTGATAACGCCCACAGAACAATATCACTGCCATGGATGCAACGATACAATATATTGGTCACTGAGTACTTTTAGCTAAAATAACTGCTCAGAATGCAGATCCTCCAAAATCCATACAGGGATAAGATCACAAGCTTTCTCGAAATCTACAAAAAAAACACATGTGGACTTGATGGCCTTAGTCCCGTTGCTTTGTTTTTTTGACACCTCTGTGTTTATGAGGCGGCTTGTCTACTGGAGCTGGTAGACTACTGGAAGTGGCTTTTAATGATGGCGAGTATTCTTAGTCAGGGTAAGAAGTTGGAGAGACTACAGGCAGCAGAGAGACAAATTCATTCTGTATGTTTCAGCTCTTGTAAGTTCTGGTGATGTCTTCTTGTCAGGGTTTGTATTTTCATGAAGAATTTGAGGTTGTCACAACACCAGAATTTTACGCTAAAACATGATACCTACCTACATAAAATATATATCAATACCTGTTTTGTTACCATGCCAGCAAAAATAGAAGTGTGAGGCACCCAATATTGCTTCATTGTTCTTGTTTTTAGTACAAAAGTTTTTGGCAAAGTTCTGCATGCGGCCAAAATTGCACAAATAATTTGGCTACGTTTTGGCACTGAAACATTGCCATGGTGATTGTGCAAGACAGACAGAGCTCTCTCTTTTTCCCACTGCAGCTGAAGTCTGTAGCTTTTGTACTTTCTGATAATATACATGTAGATCAATAAAAAAAAAATGGCATGGCATTGTTTCAAACAGGGGTATTGAAAAGATAATTATAGAAACATTTGACAGCCTTAGATCAAATATATTGCACTGATTGGGTATTTGTGTAGAATGAAAACACAAAAACATTTTTTTAAGTAGTCAGAAAATTGGGTTGGCCAACTTGTATTGAAAGGTTGCTTCAGTTCCATTATGTCAGATGTTGAGTTATAGTACATATCCGAGTTTTTCCTGATGATATCCTCTACATACTATCACCAGTAGTCACCTTACCCCTGCTGCTCAGATGTCTGCTATAACCCACTTTTCCCCTGCTGTCCAGCCAGAACCCCTGCTGAGAAAGCTTAACGGTGCATGAAAAAGTCCTGAGTGTCCGTTTAGCCCGTTTCCCCGTTAAACCATTAGAGCATTTCTTTTTTCAGCGGGAAGCTGCAGAACAGCAGCAATGGTGTGGAACAGCACTACATGACCCAGAGCAGCCTCAGGGGACAGCTTCCAATGCCTCGGGCCTGTGTGTCCCACTTTTGGATAAAAACTCTACCGCATTATCTTACTTGTGTTTAAAGTGGTGCTAATCCAGCGTCTTTAATCTTTGCAGCTCTGGACTGTTACAATGATCGGTAACACACTTAGATTGCCTGCAGTCTGGTATATATACCTGCTCAAGAGTTTTGGAGGAAAATACCATTATTTAAAGGATTTCCATGCAGGAATTTGGTGGCTATCCATCTGATAAATTCTGTTTTTCTCTTTCTTTAATAGTGCAATGCCAACTCTATTACCTTCTTCAAGTAGGTAGCAATTGATAATGGCTTCTTTGTGAAAAGAAAGCACTGGCTCGGTCCAGATATGAGGCTCCCAATATGGACCTCTCTCTTTTTATTTTAACACTGTGAGAAGCTTTTGTCAGGGCTGGGCCACCTAGTAATATTGTATCTACCATTCCCATTAACATCCTATAATTTACTAATAATAAGCATCAGACTTTCACTTTAAATATCTGTAATGTAAGCGGATATTAAATCCGTATCAGTCCGGGCGCTGCAGCCAGAAACACGATGTAATACCAATGTACCGGTTCCCTTTTTACCATGGGAAAGACAGGGCAGGGCTTCCTGCTGCCTCAGACACATCCGCCTTCCCAACACTGAGCCCAGGCCTCCAGTCTCCAGTGGCAGTCACACTTATATACACACTCACACAGTGTGAACTTCCTCTTGATATACAATTATCATGGTAAAGAATGAGACTTGACCCCTGCATCTCCATCCACAGAGTCTTTGTTGAATCTGGATTTCATCTAACGGGGATTTTAGTTTCAGACCTATTTTTAGCTGCATTGAAATTCAAGTAATCAGTCATTTACACATTTCAAATTTGATTTAAACGAACCTTTCGTCATCATATCCGTACTTTAAAGTCAAGAATGCAAACGCCGAAGAGCCTTAATAAGAAACTCTTGGCACACGTCACACCTGCCAAACAAAATCTGTTTTCAAGGTATGGTAGCCAGGATGTGCCAAATGTGAGAGCAAATATTTCTGCCATTCTGCAGCGTTGCTAGGAGATAGGATGGTGTTAATGTTGATACAGGATGCTGACTGGGTGTTTGCATGAAACAACAGGCATGAGTGTTTTGACAGGCATCATACACTGGCTGGATTGTAAGCAGTTTCTTTGAACCTGCGTGATTTGCCATGCATACGTACTCATTGAGTTTACCAAATTCATTGGATCTGCTTTAATTTCAGTTTTGTTTATTTCAACTTTATTTACATTTTAAAGCTTCATTTTAATGACCATTTTGCATCTAACTGGACCTGTACAATGTTCCAACTGTTTTGGGAGTTGGTGACTATTTGTCCATATCAAATTCACACTGACAGACATGCGTAAATAATGTCAATCATACACAATCAACTTAATCACATGCACTTTATTTTGCATTCCCTGGAATGTACTGAAATTGTCCAATAGAAAGATAGACTGCACAGGGGCCGCTGGGGGAAGTACACGTATGTGTGGTGCGCCGAAGTAGTGCCACTGTACAACAAAGAGACTTGCTAGCGGAAAAGAAAAGCACTGTGAATTTTTTCAATATAGCGTGCTTTTACCCCAACGTTTTTTTTTTTAGCTTTTCTGACAATTATTGAAATAACGTGGAGCAAAGGTACCCGGCGTCTGCTGCAATGTATAGCCTAGCTTCTGTGCCTGTTTTCTCTGTAGAGGGGCGGAGCTGACCAACATCTCCTGTGGCTAATATACTTTCTATGAGACAAGCCCACTTCAAAAATACAGAACTATCCCTTTAATTTTGTTTTCTGTCTCTGTTGGGATTTTTTTATTCCTCACGATTGATAAAAGGTTTTTGGATAAAATAAACGTGAAAACATTGGAGTCCCACCATCCCAAAGAGGACAAAACCTGTGACTTCAACTCCCTCCTTCTCTATAACTAGTGGTTTAAATAAAAAAACGTGCTGGAGTCAGTTTCTCCCATATGCTGGAGCAGATTAATACACTAGTGATAGATCATGTGAGCAAAAAGATGAACTGTTTGACAAGTGATTGTCAGCTCAACCTCTTCTTCTTCTCTTTCTTTTTCCTCGTAGTGTATCAGTGCTGATCTTCAACACCACCTTACACTGTTTTGTCCTCGTCAAGCAGTTTCGTCCAGGTAAGCACTTCACCATTATTCAAAAGCATAAAACAAAATGTTGATGTGGGGAACCTCGTTTGTTTTGTTTTTTTTAAATCTAGATTGTTGTACAGTATATCCTCGGGCACTTTCACTTGAAACAGCAGAACCTTACAATCACTGTTTACTCGACTGGATCCTAGCAACAATGCAGACTCTGAAATAGACGACAAGAGGCCCCGTTACAAAGCGGCCTAAGCTCCTTTGTTAGGAATCGCCAGGGACTGTGCCACACCACTGTGTGCTAAATGCAAGGAAGTCTGGCCATTGATATATTTATTTCCTTTCGTATTACTGTTGGGGGAAAAAAAAGGTTCTTTATCTCAAGGAAATCAGTTTGTCTGCAAAAAACAATCACTTTTTTTTTTTTTCATAAGCGGGGGTGTAGCATAAACTTGTCAGCTCATGGGTATCAACAATAAATGTTTAGAGGGGACCTAAAGGAGGTGGTTTTCACACAGAAGAAGTGATTACCTTATGTGGAAAATATCACATTTAGTTTAACTTTGTTGACTTATTCTGGCCTTTGTAGAAGTGCTCTTTATTAAGTGTCCTTAAAGTATAAATGATATGTCAAGCACTAATTAAACTACAGCCCTTTTCACAAATGCACCCGCTTAGTATTTCAAAAAAACTTCTGCCACGCTGCTTTCTCTGGAACGCTTTGCTGAATCTTTAAATCGAAGACACGGAGCTAAGAAAAAAACACTAGATGGACATGAGGCCTAAAAAGGACACTGTGGAAGTGACTGTGCAATGTTTACAACATATCAAAGAGGACGAAGCAACAAACGCTATGATGACGGTTTATGCCTTTGTATCAGTGCTCTGTGTAACAGGACATATTCTAAGTGAAAGTGGAGGAGAAAATACTGGTGAGCGGAAACGAGTGTGAATTAGCTGGTCATGCAGCGCTGCAGGATATAGAAGTCATCGCCCCCTCTAACATGCTTGATGTTTTTCCCAAACATTTCCTGCTTGGTTCAAACATCAGCTCATGTTAAAGTGTCCAGATCCTACATTTTGGGCTTACAGTATTAGAGGATTTTTTAAGTCAGTTTAGTGAGTCTCCAGTCAAGTTAATCATCCTCACAAATATTTAAAAAATGTGCCAAAAAATACCTAAAATTCTCGAATAGAATAGAAAAAACTTTGTGTTCTACTTTTGTATGCAAAGTAGGAAATGTGTCCTTGACTCATGTGGACAAGCCATTTAAAACACAAAGTAACACAATCAAACAAGGTGGCACATTAATACCACTCTTAAAAACACCACAAATACAGAATAAAAACAGAATAAAAAACAGACATGATAGAGCTACTTTAAAGCAAGGCTCCAGGTTCTTACAGTAAATACTGGAGGATTTAATAATTATAACAATAAGGATATAAAGTGCTGTGTGCATTACGAGGCAGCAAGCTGACTTTAAAGTGTCTTTAATTGACTAACATTACTGACTTGTATCTTCTAATCCTCTCACAGTATAACAGTCATTGTCCTCTTTTCCACCTACAGCTGTTTACATGTGTGAGTGGGAAAAGTCCAAGACGCAGCCCCCTCAGTCTGCTGAGAAAAACGAGGAGGGTGCAGCTGAAGCTGAAGCTGCAGCCCCGGCCTCTGAGTCTCAGGAGGGCCAGTCAGCCTCAGAGGGGGAGAGCTCCTCTAAGCAGCCCCCGGCCTCAGCGGGGGGTCACCTACGAGCTTTGTGCGGGCCTGGTGGACAAACCTGACCTGTCCCTGGAGGAGATCGCCCGTCAGGAGGTGCTGGAGGAGTGCGGCTACGATGTGCCTGCCTCCAAACTGAAGAGGATTACTTCCTACAGGTGAGCTGGCGGCATGCATCTGTGCAATGACGTTGTTTCTCCAAGTCAATGAAAATGATCTTTAATTAAAATGAATGCAGGTCATTCATGTTTTGTTTTTCTTCACCTTATATTGATGTCAGCTCACAACACAAACATCTTTTTGTGCAATGCTTTAAATTGTTTTGAGTTCCTTTATATTTGTGGTCCCTTAACAATTCATTTCTTGTTATCCAGTTTAGTATCACCTCATCAAACATTCAGTTTTGCATCAAATATTCATCCCTTTAAAAAAAAAAAAAAAAACATCTGTCACGCAAGAGTTTTGAAATTGACCAATCCCCAGTCAAGCACAAGGCTGACATACAGAGACAAACAGCCGGGCACACTCACATTCACACCTATGGGCGGTTAAGAGTCATCAAGTAATCTATCGAGTTTGTCTATGAACTGTGTAAGGAAGCCAGAGTACCTGGAGAGAGCCCACGCATCCTCAGGCAAACATCACACAGAAGAGCCCCTGTCCAAGCAGGAACTCAAGCAGGAACCATCCTGCGACTGCGCTTACCAATGCACCAACGTCTTGTTGGAAAATATTATCTAAATGTGTACAATTTCTCATTAACCAGGAATCAGAAACAGAATCGGGTTTTATTGCCAAGTACATTTACACATACAAGGAATTTGACTTGGTGTATTGGTGCTAAACACTGGAACACAGATTTTTCTCAAGAACAAGATTCTTTTCACCAATTGTCTGTTGAATTTAGCGTCACTGGCAAACTTGTGCGAGTCAATCCTAATAGTAACTATAGAGAGAAAAAAGAAAACAGAAAAATGGAGCATCGTCAGGAAATGAGAGCCCCACCACCCCTCTCCTCTCTGTGTCCTCTTTGCTGATGTCATGGAAGTCAAGTTCCATGATCAATGGATACGATTGGGTCTTATAAGTGACTGTGTTTCCTTTGTCTAACAAAGACTTGGCACGATGGGGGGGGGGCCCAATAGGGACATTACCAGATGTCATGCAGAAAGTATTGAAAGTTTGGTGAACCAAGGATGGAGGAGTTTTTTCTGCGTGGCCATCAGCAGATGGCACAACCCCAAAGACATTAGTTCTATTTCCTTTTCTTATTGGTTGTGCCTGGAGCATCTGTCTGTCGTGAGTCGTCCCCTCTGTCTTCCCTGAGTTTCTACCTCTCGTTAAAAGATCCAAAAAATGTAACTAAAGTTGGAGATGGAGACGGCCTGTAGATCAGAGAAATTCACTGCAGCAAACAGCCGTCTTTGCTAGAATAACACTGGAGCGCAGTCCCTCATTAAACAGCAACACCTGCACAGCAATGACTGATAACTCTCAGAACTCTGCTTTTGATTTGACTGGAGCACATCCTCCGCCTCTGTTGGTGTTGTCTATGATGATTGTTATGTGTGGGCGGCTTCCATTAAATACATAGGTGTCATCTTAACCCCCATGACCCCTATGAGGGGGTATTTGACAGAAGCACGGTGTGTGAGGAAGTCTTTTCCTAACAGTAGGCAACGTTTGGTCTTTTAGCAGCACTCAAAGAAGAGCTTTAAATGTTTCTTTGTCCACATGAAGTGTTCACTGGTTCTTCTGATCGTGTTATAAAAATAAGTTATTATTTGGACCTCTTGGCTAAATTTAGACATCAGGCATTGTAGATTCCTGCAGTATGTTTTCATTTTAATTTTTGGAGGAACATTAACAACATTTCTACAAAACAGGAATTATTCAAAGTGATATTATTCAGTTTACTGATGAGTCTGAGTCATAGTTTTATGTCTTCGGTAAGTTTGGAGGAGCTCTGTCAAGTCTAAGAAAGTTTCAGATATCACAGATTTACCTCAGTTTGGGTTTTTTTTAAACCTTTTTATTTTAAACATTGCTGTACATACATAAACAACACAACTTCAAAAGGTTAACACTGTTTTTTTTTGTACTCAGGTTTCAGATTTTTTCCTCAACTGTTTATAGGGTCTTGCTTTAAATTACATATATTTTTATCCCTGCACGGGTTATGTACATTTCTTGTATAAATCTATTTTTAATTGTACAGTTTAAGTTTTGATTCATCTAGGGGTATTCTTTAAATCTTTTTTCAGGTTAATATATATGTATGGGAGGGGGGCGTCAATTTTGCGGTTTAATTTGTAACAAATGTTTCATGTCATGCACGTCTTTGTAACCTGCTACTGGATGCTTTAAATTTCCCTCGGGATCAATAAAGTATCTATCTATCTATCTATCTATCTATCTATCTATCTATCTATCTATCTATCTATCTATCTAAAGAGAGAGGTTACATCTATAGAGAAAAGCCTGTGATGCAAACCGGGGGCAAGACATTTTAAAATATTGGACCAATATGAATAATAGGGACCAGTTTCAAATATTTCTTTTTACTTTTCCCCCCCCAACTCGATGGGCACCATACAGTATGTAGTTACACCAGTGGACCTTCATGGAAATAAGAAGTTGAAACACAGAAGCGTTTGTGTTTTGTTTAATGAAAGGAAATAAATGTATTTCTCAAATGTACAGTATTGGATGTGAAGCTTTTTCGTTCTTAACTGCAGATATCAATCTCAATTCATTCTCCTTTCCCCCCTCCAGGTCAGGCGTCGGTGTAACGGGCTCAAAGCAGACCATGTTTTACGCCGAGGTGTCTGAAGACAACTGTGTGAGCGCGGGTGGAGGTGAGCCTCGGGAGGGAGAGCTTATCGAGGTGGTCAAAGTCCCGCTGCACGAGGCCATGACGTTTGCGTACGACGAGCGTATACCCAAAACCATGGGCGTCATTTTTAGTTTCATCTGGTTCCATAATAACATGTCTCCCAAGTACAAGATCTCTACCAATGTGTAATTAGTATTAATCAACTATCTTTATACGGTTTATTCAAATCAAATCAAACACCGGCCCAGCACATAATCCACTCTCCCCTTTATCGCTCTTCATCCTGTGTTGCCTTTTTTATGCTCATTGGTACATGATGAAAGGTGGGCCCCTTGTCTTGTTGCCAACAGCTAACTTTACTTTTTGTCCTGTTTACCTTCTCAGTATCATGTGGTCTTAAGATTTTCCCTCAAAACCAATTTGCCATTGCTGGTTGTCACTGGCACTTTTTGTCTCTTCTTGTTTATTTTGTATTTTTCTCAGTTACTGTGCCATCTGTTATAAATGGCTGCATATCACTGATTTCATCCTCCTGCCCTCGATTAAAGGAATATTCCACTGCTTTTAGTCTAGGCTATTGAATGTTTCCTAAAGGCAAAAAAAGCAACAACTTATAAATCACCCAACATCAGCCAAACAACCTTACAATTCTTTCTTATAGTTCAATTGTTCTCACCACACTACAACACCCAGGATTCATTGCAAACTATTTAAAGCCATGATGCTAACCAGCCAAACGTCACTGGTTAGCATTGTTAGCAAACGTTTTACATGCTGATATTTCAATTTGATGTAATGCAAACATTTCTACATGACCAACCAAGTGTTTGCATTTTGACATTACACATGAAACATGGCTACTTCTTTTTTTTTTTTTATTGGTCCTGTGTTGAAACAGAGTAGAATAGAGTGAAGGAAAATCAAACCAAACAGTGGAGTATTTCTTTAAGCCATGATCCAGTAATGCAAAAACTATGCTAGTCAACGGTGGGGCCTTGTACCAGTCGAGGTGTTAGATGGGTTTTAACCGCCACTTGTTCAAGCCTCAGTTTAGTTCTCTGACCTACAGCCTTTAAGCAATATTTATCATATTACCCCCCTGGGCGAAACAAATCACTCACTGATCTCTACCCCTCGACTGTGTTTCTTGATGGTCGACGTGTCTCCTCCTCCTTTTGTACAAAACTGAAGCCAAAAAAAAGAACCTACCCTAAAAAGAAACACATTTAACTTACCGATGAAACGGCAGCGATCCCTCAGGTCGGTAACGTCCGGGGTGGAACAGATTCTTCTGTCAATTTGAAGAAGTTCAGTGACTCTCGTGTCAGGGTTAGTTAGGATTCGACTTCTCCGAAAATCGAACTCTGAGGAATAAATCAGCGTGTCCAGAACTATCTATAAAGACAGAAACTATCAAATTTTATAGTTGGACCCATGTCCCATCTGTTAACATGGAGGAGGCGGAGCTTATGACCTATGGTGCAGACAGTCAGGATGGGGAGCTCCAAATGTTTTGGCTTCACTTTTCGCCTTTGGAGCTGTCATGTCGTCCATCTTTTTATACAGTCTTTGCATCAACCCTTAACACTCTTAGAAAATCCACCTGTGGACAAGATTATCAAACTTTTTAATTCCACAATCAAAGTGGAAAAATGATCATGGAATACATTGTTCCAACACACAAGAAAAGCAAACCCCTACCGCTACACCGAGGGGCTTCATTTTGATTTGTCTCCATGTTGTCGCTCATAAGCACAAAGCTGCGGTGAGTCATGTCAGAGGAAATCAGAAAACTGACCGCTAACATGTTGGTGTATCCTGAAATCCCATTGACATGGAAAGGAGTGCTTTGAAGGAGGTATTCTTTCACATTCTCTTACATATTATTTAAGACTAGAAATACAGTAAAGGAAACATCATAAACCCTCCAGAGAGTTCATTTTACCCACAGATGTAGGAGCGTATTTAAAAAGGACTCGAAACCATCTAAGAGATTGCCTCCGATCATAATTCATGATGGAGATTCAGTGTCGCAAATATTGAAAGGTCATCAACACACAAACCTGATCGCACAAAGTGAATCTCAGCAGCAGTTTGCCAAAATCTCAGGTCCAAATAGTCAAACTGCTGGTTCATATCCAGGGTGGACCTCTGGGTGTGAAAAACAACCAGCATGTTAGTACATATTATCAAATCTATCGCAGCTTAATGGCAACAAAGTTCTTACTATTCTTATTACATGTTAGTTTTTTAAATTCAAAAAGGGCTGGTACTTCATTGTTAGTTAATATGTAAAAAAGAAAGACCCCCCCTCCCCCCTTTACCTAGTAGTAGATTTCTTAAAAAGTATGCAAGTTCTAAAGATGATGAAGCTTTAGAAAATTACAGCTAACTTAGCACAGCTTGAACATGTCATTAGTCACACATTACTAAAAAAAAGATTATAAAAGAACTACAACTGCACGCTGAAGGAGAGCTCAACTCACTTCAGGTGCACCTGCAGAGTTGGAAAACGTGCGTGAGAAAAAAGTGAATGAATTTTGACAAAAAAAAAAAAATTGTAGTCCCCTGTGTCCACCTAGCGTTTTTTTTCCAGCTGTGCGCTCGGTAGAGCTTGCATGAAGCGGGTTGTGCGCTGAGAAGAAAAGCGCTGCACGTCCGTCCTGTCTCTATGACAACAGTGCGTTGACTACGGCCACTGTATGTCCGACGCGGCTCTGTTACTTTACTGTATGTTTTTCTTTTAATTTGAGATCATTTATTTCCAGTTTATCAGACACGGAGCAAAGAGCTTTGAATTTGGAAAAGAGCGCCGGTGACGTCAGCAGCCCTTTCTGAAAAGTTGGAACGATTTTCAACTCGAGCGCTCGGAGCGGCCGCACAAAAAGTTGAAGCGCTCGTAGAAAAAAAGGCGCTGGGCTCTGCGCTTTTTCTCCAAGCGGCCGCTTTCTGCTGCCAAAGGTCTCTCTACTCATAGAAAACAATTTTAAAAAAGACGCTTGCGCCCAGAAAAATGTTGCGCTAGGTGGACACGGCGGCCTTACTTAACGAAATGGAAAAAAAGTGCTGTAGGTTTTTATTTGTACGACTTTTAAGTGCAATGTTTCTAATTGTTTTCCAGAGTATAAAATCAAAACATGAAATCATGAATCTGCCATATTAAACAAAAACAAATCAATTTACCGCTGTACTCGATGTATTTGTCTAGGATTTATTTTGTTTCTCAAGGCTGACAATCAAATGTCAACATTTCTCTGCTGTTACCCCATCACACCTTGTGTTTTGATTTGAGCTCTTTTATTCCTATTCTTCATGCAGCGTATGTCCTTGTCCCTCTTGAATCTCACCAAAGTTCTCTCAGAGGAGGACTGAGCTTCACGTTCAGGCATCAGAATGAGGTTATCTGGTGCCGCTCGAGCTCGCATTGCTTTGTTCTCTTCTGTGCAAACAAAACAGAAGGACGGAGAATTTTAAAATGTTTGGTTTCTCACACTGAATCAAATATTTGGGGTATATTTCCAACCACACTTTGTAGGAATATATGCACAACCCTTAAGCCATATTTACACCCAGTCACTAAGCTTGTTTGTCCTTCTGTCAAAAAAAAAAAAATCCTCCATTTAGGGTTGTATACTTTGCTGGAACAGCTTGAATTATTTTTCATTTTGTTGATTTTCTTGGGAAGTGAAATCTTCACATTTGTTATACCTGGCTGCAGCCTGCATAAAAGGGGCGGGGCTCTCTGTTAATGTCACCTGCCTTTTGTAAAAGTAGTTTTAAGTGTTGAATGAAATCACACCCAGCATCGTTTGATGAGTTAAAACTGCTGAATTTAGGCAGGATAAAAGATGGATTTCATTGGTTAGGACCTGAGTTTTGTAGTTAGAATAAAAAGTGGTATGTGTTTAATTGAGGAACAAATATAGTGAGGGGGAACTGTTTCTCTGAAAACTCTTTTTTTTATACAACTGTGAGTTAACATGGTAAATATTTACTTTTGACTTTACTTTAAGATAGAGTCCTTTTTTATTTCAAAAGTAAGACTGAGACCGATTTAAAATTGCAACACTTTGTTTCTCTGAATGCTTTCAAATCGTCGGTGAAAGATCTTGTAACCAGACTTTCTGTGCGCAGATGTTTCAGCTGATCGTTTTCATGTTTTCTTAAACCTACAGTGTGACTTCTGTTTTTTTTTTTGTTTCTGTTGTTGTTGTTGAAAGTGTCTGTTGCTGCTATCTGTGGCCAGGTGTCTTTTGTAAAAGAGATCTCTGATCTCAATGGGACAACCCTGCCGAAAATAAAGGTGAAATAAAAAAGAGAATAAATGAATGAAAGTAGCTGAATTACCCATTCCTCCATTCAATTCCAATCATCGAGCTAGCATTGTTAGCTTCATGGATTAATTGTCAAGTCCATGATGGTATATGAGGCCTCAAAACACACTCCACTAATGCTACCTGTTCCTCCAGTGGAAGCAAGGACAATCTATGGATGTGAGTGACTGTGTTCTGGAAATCAAAACAAACGATATATGAGCTAGTTAGCACATGAGCATCGAGTCTTTCCTCTGATTCCAGTCACTTAAATGACTTTTTTTCTTCATTTTTTCTTGAAGGGAAGTGTTTTCTCCGCACACCTACACATGCTCACAACAAGCATCCAATGAAAACTAATGTTTCATCCTAGTTTAAATGCTACAGTAAAATATCTAAAACAACACAAGTTGGGGTTAAGCTGGCATGCAAACCACGTCTTGTTCTGCAGGATGTAATTAGGTCTTATAATCTTACTGAGAGGAGCGTCCAAGCTTTATTAATTACAGATGCTCGACGATAAAACCGACTGTTTATAGTTAGATGTAAATCTTCAAATGCATACAAATGACTTCTCTAACAAGTTGGACGCAGGACACTTTGGGGAAAATGTCGATTGCACTTTTGGAAAACCATGAAATGACCGCTGGATGATTTCTACGTTTTGTTAGTTTCATGTGGCAGAGAGAGTAAATCATAAAAAGGACACACATCACTTTTTAAAGTTTTTTTTAATAGTCAATTCTTTTCGCACCTTATTGATATCAGATAAACGACCACATTCCCTTCCCCCCCTTGTCTTCTCCACCGCTCTCCTCTCGTGACGATCTTTCTTTTGGTCCTCAGTTGAACCAGGTCTGAGTCGAGATTGAAAGATTCCCAATGGTGCTCACAGTTTTTCATTGTCTTCATCACTCAGATATTTATCCTCATCTCACATTTTTAAAGCAAAGATTAAAGAAACCAACATCGCTCTGTGTATTTCTAACACTCCTCACTTTGCTGTAATGATGTGAAATTCTTCTGATTTGGCTTGTAGACGATCCATTGTGACAAACGAAGCCATTTTAAAGGCCAGTCTGCTAACTGTATGTGCCTGTCAAATGTGGACATACAGGCTAAAATAACTTTTCTTTTCTGGATATTTGTCATGAAAACAACTCCCCTTTTTTTTTTTTGTATAGGCTTGTAACTGTTGGTGTTATCAGCCAGCAGGTAAATGTCTTCAACACCAGCTGCTATCTGAAAGCTGAGTGCATACATTTAACAAAGTGGGCATACTGTAGCCCTTAGGATTGACTCAGTGAAAATTAGAGCGACACTTATAAACCTAGAAAGAAGCTGCGAGTAGGAGGGACCGTGTTGAGATTTCAGCTGCCAAAAAAACAACACAACAAGTGTGACAGCACTTCAGGTTCAGCTGGTTCAGCCTGCTCCTCTATATAAGCGTTCAAGTGTGGCGGAAATAAACATTCATGTAAGGCCTTTTTTTTTTTTTTATTGCATGTGGAGTCAAAAAGTAGAGTGAAGTAGAACTTATAGAACACAGGTCAACATTACGGGGAAAACGCATTCATTTGATCTTTTTGAGAGTTTAGGGAGACAAATGATGCCACTTTTGTGTTTATTTTGTAAATTTAAGGGTACAACTATAGCGGTTGGCTAACTTAGCTTAGCATAAAGACTGAAAAAGAAAAGGGGGGGGGGGGGGTGGGTGCTTGCCTGGCTCTGTCTAAGGTAACAAAAATGTCCCTTCAGCCTAGTGTTCTACTTGAAATCGGTCTCACAACCGTTCTCAAGACCACTTTTTGAAGGTCTCGTCTCAGAATCAATTTTTTTTTTACTAGGTCTAATCTCAAACTGGACGGACTCCAGATTTTAATTCTAGACCGGTCAAGACCTGTGATCAGAAGGAAAACGCCCCTTTCCAAAAGAAGAAATTACTTTTGTTTTGTTAAATTCATTCATAATTTATTTATTTTTTTATCCCCCGGTTATAGCCGTCACCCTTCTCGGTCTCGCCCTGCCTTGGTCTTGGTCTCGACTCGGTTTCGGTTCCTAAATGTCTTGGCCTTGTCTGGGTCTCGGAGCACTCTGGTTTCGGTTAGTGTGCTCTTGATTACAACACTACTTGTTTTTTTCTTTGTGATTAACAAAGATGTTTATTTCATACAAAAAACTGAAACCTTAAAATGTGGAAGTTCATACAAAACCATGTCTTGACCAGAACTGTGGTTTGTGCTCAGATTAAACAATAAAAATGCACCAATGTATTAACAAGTCATTGAACTGAAGCGCTAGGCTGTTAGCTTCGGCTAACGTTGAAGAAGATTGGTATCACCGTGGGAGTTTTTAAAATGTTTGACCACACATGATGTGAGTAAGCGTTCAGGCATATCTTCTTTATCTTTTTTTATCTGGCTAGCCATCTTCCCCTGTTTCCAGTCTTTGTGCTAAGCTACGCTAACCACATCCAGATGTATCTTTATATTCTGTGTACAGCAATAAGAGTGGCATCAATCATCTAATCTAAATAAGAAAACTAAAAGGGAATGAATGCATACCCCAAAATGTTGCACTGTTCCTTTAATTCCCCAAAGTGAACACACTTTTGACAGTCATATAGGAAGTTGCAGACTGCGCCACCAGTAAGCCATATCCTATTTAAATATAAGACTAGTATCTGAGGTAAATGAATTGTTTTTTAAAAAATTCATTCTTGATTATGCTGGAAATTAACAATCAGCCCAGCACTGGACATTTCTACCTCCATCACTCAGGCACATCAGGAGAATATTTTGTGTCCGTTTGCGTGCTTCTGAGACACAGACATATCAAATTCTCAGCAACGTGTCAGAAATGTCAAACCTCAGTGGTTCTCTGTGACGGAGCGCTAAAATCATCAGTATCAGACTTTTATAGACGTCCCCACCCACACACACACATACACACATGGCTAAGCTGTAGTTGCTTCTTCAACTGTGATTGTTTTTTTGTTTTTCTGTTCAGGGTTTGTGCAGAATTTTAACTTCCTGTATTTCTCAATGATCACGAGCTGATCAACAGTGAATCACAGACGTGTTTTTAAAGGTGCTATGTGTAGTATTCTCTTTAAATTAACCAAGGTGTTTTTTCCTGTTGAATTTATCTTAAACCATGGATGTGATGGTTCAAAAAATGACCTTTGGTGATCTACTTAGTCTTCATTTTTAATATTGGTTATTTGCTTGTGCGTCCTGGAGAAGGCACTTTTGATCTGTATAGTCGGTCACTTTTGCTTCTTTATGCACAGACCGGTAGCTGAATATTCAGAAGTAACGGGGCTGTGATTAGATTTGCTGCTCAATGTGACTATAACGTGTAGCACATGCGCTATTCTATTAGTTAGTGTAATATTTAGTGAAAATCCTACACATAATACCTTTAAGTGAAAATAAGTATTATGATTTCTGTCATGGTAATGACAAAGAAATGTGTCCAGTTGTGATCTCATTTTATTTTCATTTTTGATGTCTTACACTGATGATTTTTCTTTTTTTAAATTTATATTTTCAGAAAAAAAAAATAGAAGAAACATGAGCGTTGCAGTTTGATGAATTTATCATGTATTTTATGCTTTACTCAAAGTGTATACTCATTGTGGCCAGTGTTTTCAGTAATGTTTCACTTTTGTTAATTTATTACCTAAATGTTGGATTATTAAACTTTTAAAACATGACACTTGGTACAAACATACAGTATATATTTAAATATGATACTTTGCATGTGCACTGACTGTGTTGGATTAAACTGCATTAAGTTCAAATAAAATGGGTTTGATGCCCAAAATGTCAAATATTTGTCCTTTAGTTTTTTTACTCACTGAGTACGATTATTTATTATTTCATTGTTTTATTTCAAAATCCATAGCACTTACCTGATGCTAACATAAATCTGTCAGCAGCCCTTTATGCAGATATTCATCATCTCTCTTGAACAAACATCATAATCAGATAAATCTATATGTGAATCAGGAAACGGGTCGACACATTTAGGCACAGAATCCTTTATAAAATCTGTAGATTTGATCTTGATGTTCATCTTGCCAGTTTCCCACAAATGCAAGAAAAAAAAACAGAAAAAAAAGAGCTGTTGTAGTGTGAAAGTGATTTTATCTAAGGTGATTCAGCGGGGGTGCTTGGCTTATGCAAGAGTGTCTCTCTGTGTACAGTATCTTCCCCTGGTCACCGCCCATCCATCTTTAAAAGGGTGCTGGGGATGGGTGGAGGGATGGGTACTTAAATTGCATCCCTGTTGCTTTCATGTTGTAACTGGACACATGGGACTCTCTCTCTGTGCTCTCCAGAGACCATCTGGATGTGTGTGTGTGTGTGTGTTACCACGGCAGATGGATTACCACCCCTCTTTCTGAATGCAGTCCATTCACAGGTGGGAGCAGCTTAAACCTGCCCTTTGAAGGAAAGACAAGATCCACCAGAGCAGTTAGAGGAGACACTGATGTGCAAGAACCGCAGCACCTTTTTGTGACACACTCTCCATCTGTATGCAGATGAGATGATGCACATAAGGGAAGGTGTGGTTTTTAACTTTCTCAGCCTGTCTATAAAAACAGTTCATGTTTAGCTTTTTTTTTTGTTTTTATTCAAAAAAGTGGATCCAGGCCGTTGTTGTCAGTAGTGGTGCCATTGTAGAAGTGCATTAAAATTGTAACCTTTCTTAAGGCCATAAAGGGGGGCCTCTACTGGTAGAGAAGGATGTTGGATTGTACGGGAACAGACGAGAAAATGACCACACCTCTCAGTTATTTTACTGTCTTTTACCGTAAATCGTTTCTTCATACCTGAATGGTCTCAATGCCAATTTCAAGTCTTTGTCAGTACACCATTATGTTCTTTAGTAAATGATGGCCCAATTTTGAATGAAACTACCATTAAAAAGGTTGTGCTTTAAGGCGTGGCTACCCATGATAGGCGAGTCAAACCATGGCGACATGTTAACTAGGATAGAGTCATATAAATCTATCT